ATCTCTCCCACCCCCATTACCCCCCTCCACTTCCTTCCCTCTCCTCCCCACAGCTTATACCTCTCAACTCTACGTGCATTCTACTTCAAACCCATAGAGTCCACTTTGCCAGTGCGTCCATGTGTGTGAGATCATCTATGGGAGCATGATGACCTCTTAATGCCTGTGTCTTTGAAGAAAACTGACTCTCCCTCTCCCAGCAGCCATCAGTTACCAACAGCGCCTGGGTTAGGGGGTACTTCTTGAACCCCCCATACACACACCCATGCTGGGATTTTGTCTGGCTTGATATTGTGCCCGTCTTATGTATACAGTCAGAGCTGCTGTGAGTCCTAACAGGCAATGGCCCTGACACGTCCAGACAGCACTGTTGTGCTGTGGTCATCCATTACCTCTGGCTCTCTCAATCTTTCTTTACCCACTTCCTCAATGATATCTAGGCCTTGGGAGGAGACTGTTTGATATAGATCTCTCATGTAGACCTGAGCACTCCACTGTCTCTGACTCTCTATTGTTTCCCAGTTGTGGGTTTCTGTATCAATCACCATGTACTGTAGAAAAGAGCTACTCTGATGATGGTCGAGAGAGGCGTTACACTATGGGTATAAAGATAGGTACTTTAATAATATGTCCATTTATCAGAATAAAAGCAGTCGTTTTCCTCCTAAGGCCTACAGCTTACCCAGCCACCTTGGCTCAGTTCATGGTGCCAGACATAACTTCTGTCTTGAAGAGTAGACCTTAAATCCAATCAGAAAATGGTTGGTCACTACCATAACATTAGTGTCACGATTGTCCCAGTGTGCCTATTTTATTGGGCCAGCTGTTACTATAATTCCCAGGGTTCACAGCTGGATAAGACTGTTGATTATCCTTTCTCTCCCAGTAGTGTGCATTATACCTTCTAGCACCACAGAAGCTAGTGAAGTTTCTAGAGCAGGGGTGGCAAACAGTGGGGCAGCATAGAGGAGCCAGTATGGAGAGGGGTCATTAACACTGAAGACCCTTGAAAAACCTACAAGAAAACCTACTACTGTGAAAGCTTTCTAAAATATATACATATGCATATATTAAAAATGTTTAAATGGAATTACTCTATAACAGAAGGAGGGGGGACAATGCCTCTCCCAGTTACCATAGGCTATTAAATATAAATTAAAAAGGAAGTAAAAAGTCCAGTGTCAGACATAGGGTAACTCTTTTCAAATTGCTAGCCAGTGGGGTCCCATAGCACTCCTCGAAATATTATAGGCTGTTGCCATTGCTCTTGTTTACACACCAGATCATGATGGTAAAGATCCTATTGCTAAATAAACCACATACTTGAGTCGGAAGACATCATTTCTTACAAAAGAAAATGAACAAGTTTAAGTGAGAAAAGAGGCATTAGAAATCTATTTCAATCCAGCCATTTCAAGCAACTGTTGATCACTATACAAAACCTGCAATGGTTTGACAGTCACTGTCAGTGACCAGAATGGGCTTTGAAAGAGCATATGATCTTCCGTTCCTAGCATGCTATGCTAGTCATGATTAGTCAGGTGGCACTTTTGGTGTAGTGATGATCCTAGATCATAGTGTGCATCCAAGCTTCTTGGTTGTAGAGGGTAGTGACTTCTGTTGTTTCTTGTGTTGGCATGTGTGCACATACATGTGTGCACATACATGCAGTTTCTCAGTCTCCAATAGTGCCCCTTGATTCATGCCACATGCGGTTAGCATGGTTAGCTAGGAGCAGCTGCTTTTGTACAGTATAACGAAGAACAGTCAACAGAAGACACAATGTCACAAAGGGAAAAAGCATCAAAAGCCCGTGGTATTGGTATGGAGACTCAGAACAATGATTTCAGGCTCTCATTTTGGAATTACAGGTGCTATGTATCACTATTGTAATTTAGCATTTACTGAACACTTATTGTAAAACAAGTTCTGAGTAGAATATTAAGATGTGCCTCCTCCTTACCGGTGGGTCGACTTAAATAACACAAGGAGCAAAAGAGGAAGGCTGCTAGCTCCTGTGGGAGGAAGCAAGTACAGCCTGGCTTCTCTCATATCCGGAGTTCTTTGCGCAGGTCAGGGTCTCCTTGCATTCTCTTTACCATGTCCATGGTACGTCCATGCACTCCAACATCCCTGATAGGCACACCTAGCAGCCATACTGAGCAAGCGCATCAGAGGAAAGAGAACCAGGTTCACAGAACTGCTGGGTCTTGAAGTGCTGACAGAAGATTTCCAGGGAACACATTCTATACTGATAAATATTAGGACATACAGAACAAGCCTGATTCCAAGTAATTCCAGAAGTGACTTCCCCAATAATGACAGAATACCAACTTCACTGAAGAGTGTTCAGATAGAGACTGATTATAAGTGTGGTATTTAAGAATCTCTCAAATATTCAAAAGGTCATCATTAGATATTTAAAATTTTTTTTCTATGTTTTTATTTAAATCTCCCTTCATGTTTGATTTGTTAGCTTGAACTTGAGGTATATGTTCAAGTTGAAATGCCAAATTTATTTAATGCAAAGCCCACTGACTCATCATATTTATTATTTATATCAATAAAAAGACATTGAATACATTCTTTGCCAAAGGGCACAGCTACAAAATTTTAAAACACACGAGTCAGCAGCATTACAAAATTCCTATTTCAAAAGCAATCTCTTTGAAACAGCCCCCTCTCAAGGATCACCAGGTTAGCAAGTTATGCCGTAGACTTCGCAGTCTTTTGACTGTGACTCTCCCAAACAAATGTGAAAGGAAGTCCACAGGCAACTGGAAATGTCCATTTGAAAGTAGGGGTATAGACGTTAGCTATGAATATGTAATACTTTCCAGAAATGAAGAAACGGGTTTATATCTTTAAACACTGATTTCCTGTTTACTGTAAGACCAAGGACTTTCCCAGGGTCTGTCTGTAAATTCCTGGTGGTACTAGCACTGGTAATGGAGGTGAGAACCTGCCAGTTGAGCCGAATGAGTTTAATAAACGTCAACAACATCGAATTAGTGGCCTCTTCAGAAGTGAGAAAATTCGCATAAAAGCACATTACATCTGAAACACCCTGAAAGGTACAGGGTTCGTGTGAAATGTGAAATTGCTATCACGGGTTTTCCTTTACCTAATTCAGGCATGAACATCTTCAGAACTGTGACACATGACTGGAGAGGCAACCACGTTCAGTTTCATTTACCTATAAATGGAGTCGCACCATACCGAGCTCCACCCACTGACTTGAGATAGAATCCTATGGAGTCATTTCTTCACGCAGAACTTCTTCATCTCTCAAACCAAGAACTCTTGTTTCTCTCCTTTCAGCTTGATTACTCCTTGATTCTTCTAGAATTTGAGTCTCATCAAGACCTCTTTTCTGTTAACTCTGATCAACTCATCCCAGCTTCTTGTCTACAAAGTTACTTATTTTCCGTGGCAAGTGCTATACATGTTCTCTCTCTTTTCACAGCCTGAGGACTTCAAAGAGTGGTCTTTGTGTGGCATTTCTTCAATATCTTGCTTGCCCAGTGCTATGGCTCCACTAGAATTGTTCTATCCATACTCACTGCGACCCTGTTAATGAGTAACAGAAGACGCTGAATATCTAAGGTTTGTAGTTTATGGTGATAGCTCTTCCGGTCACTTTGGTGTGTCATACTGATCAGCAAACGACTACTGATGAAATGTGTGTGGCTTTGCTTACTGAAGCTCCAGAGTCTTTTCCTGGCTTACTTCTAGGGAAGCTGTCCTCTATGCAGCCCGTTCTGTTCACCAACCCAGGCTTTAGACCGGCTCTTCCCTGATTTGCTGTGTTTTCGTTGACCACCACTTACTGTATACTACCATGACACGTAATATGCCTTCATGTGTCTCGAAATTCTCTCTTCACTTCCATTGGCTTCTTTCGTGTGTCATTAAAAGGAAATTATCGTTGATAATTACTGAACTTATCAATGGGATGCAAATGTGTCAAGATGTTCCTGCTAATGACTTTCAACTCATGTTCCATTGAAGCTAGCCATTTAGTGGAATTACCTTAACATTTATATCATCGTATATTTTTACCATTTTGGTTTCTGTATTCAGTAGAACTTTTATACTTTTGTAATATTAAAAGTCATGTTATTACAGAGAAGTTCCAATTGTAGTACATTTTTCCTGAGTGAATAATGAATGAGTTGCCAATATGGCACTCCATCATCCCAGTCCTTTGGTGCATCTTTCTTACAAACCAAGATATTTTCTTACATAAACACAACATGACCACCAACATCAAGAATTTATGGAAACAGCACACTTTATCATTTGAGGGTACTGCAATTTCTCTGCGTTATTAACCATATATAACCTCTGGTCAGAAAATAAATCTAAATTACCACAGATTATAGTCAATAATAAGACTTACTAGAAATCATTATGGCTGGAGTCACAAAATAAAGTTAAGACAGGGTATAAAACTGATTCCACATGAGCTACTGAAATATGAATTTGTCTAAATATTTTTTTATATCAACGATTCTAGGTATGGTTCACATGTATTGATCATCCTTAAAATTTTATAGACACTATAGATTCTTTTTTAAAATTTAAACAATTTCTGAAAGATTTTATTTATATTTGTAATTGTGTGTGTATGTACGTGTGGTTGGGGGGGGTACGCATGTGAGTGAGGTGCCATTGCAGGGCAGAGGAGGGCACTGGAGTCCCTGGTGCTGGAATTAAAGGCAGTTGTGTATGGGGGATGATGACTCCTATGTGTAGGTACTGGTAACTGAACTTTGGTCCTGTGGCAAGAGCAGTGTGTGCTCTTAACCACATACTGGCATGTGGTTATACAGAGCTGACCTTCTGGCATCCGACTGTAGAGTTTTTGTTAGGTTTTGGTATCATTGTTTATTTTCTTAGATTTAAAAATTTCAAGTTTCTCATTCATCTTTCAGTTGGCTCTAATACTTCTTTGCTTGGCTAATGACTTTGAGTTTAAAATTTTTATCTTTATGCAGATTGTTATGAAGAAGATCTCAGCTGAGGAAAGTTTTGCCCTCTAGGTTGCCCAGACGTGTGGCAATACCAGAAGACATCTTTGGTTGTCACAACTTGGAGACGGGCTGCGTGAATCTGGTGAGTGGAAAGTGGAGATGCTGCTAGGCACCCTCCAACGTGAGGACAGCCAGGCCACTACAACCAAGGACTACCAGCCTGGGGCTGAGATGTCGCTCAATTGGTAGAGCACTGACCTAGCACCCGGGAAGCCCCAAGTCTGCTCCCCAGCACTTCATAAGTTGAACACAGTTGTACATATCTATAGTTGTACATACGCTAGCATTTAGGAGATGGAACGATCAGGGATGCAAGGTTTTCCTTGGATATATACAGGGTTTGACGTCAGCCTGGGATAGAGAGAGAATGAAATGGTATTTGTGCTAAACTTGAGAAATCCTGATCAAAAGCATATATTGGTTCAAACTGAAGATGTTTTAACCTTGGTTCAGTGATTTGATGACCAGAGTAAATATCCCTAAGAGCCAGCTTCGTGGGGCTGGAGAAATGGCTCAGTGGTTAAAAGCACTTGCTGTTCTTGTAGAGGGCCTGGGTTTAGTTCTTTGTACCCACATGGTAGCTAACAGCTATCCGAAATTCCAGTTCCAGGGACTCTGATGCCCTTTTCTGACCTCCATGGGAATGGCATGCATATTGTGTACTTACATACATGTAGAAAAAATACTCATACACATAAAATAAAAATATTTTTTTAAAAGGAGAGAACTTTGTAATATATTTTCCAATGAATGTTATAATCTCAAAATTATTATCATTCAGAAAATAATTTATAGTTCAAGTTCTACAAAACTCGTACTGGACAAACATAAGAAATCATAAGTGTGGTCCATGTGGGCAAGCAGGTATCTGTCTATGGCTTATTGACACTTCATAGAACACTTAGAACACCTCTTTTGGGTACAAACAAAAACGGTGTAGATACAGCTGGTGTGAGGCCAGTCCTCAACAGTGTAGAGTATTCTATCAAGGAAATTCCCACATTATATCTGCACAGGTGGCGAAAGAATGAAATAGGTGTAGATATTCAGACATTACCACTCACACTCATAAAGCTTATCAATCTGTTATTTTTCTGTAAAGGCAAAAGTGCCAAATACTAAGAACAAATATCTCCCCATGGAATGGTTACCATTAGCAACTACATCCTGTTGCTAGGCAAGTTCAGGTCAGTTCTGGGAGTAAGCAGTGTTCAGTTGCAGGAGGCATGGAGAGAATGATAAATGGCTCCCCATGACCTACGTGGCCTGCTGTGGTAGCCACTGGTTTGTTTCTGCACAGGAGAGAGGGGCAGACTTGTAAGAGGTCCCTTCTTGATGGCACTTATCCACACTTTCAAATGTTAACAGGCTTTGAGGACATCAGAAAAGCTGTTTATTAGGGGCCTTTGTTAGATGAAACTGAACTTGAATTTTAAACAGTAATAAAACAGTTTTCATTTATCATAGAACTTAGATGTATTTTTTAAAATATGGAAGTTTGTGAATACAGCATGAATATTGTCTTTGCCGTCCCTTCCATGACCTCCCCACTCCCTTTGATTCCTTGTCCTTTTCTTTAACATTGCTAATACATATGCATCATATATGTTTATGAACACACACACATATCACATATATATTATATAGTGCACTTGCGGGCACACTGTTTTAAAATAAAATGAAAGTCTATGTCAGAACATAATTTATATTTTCAAATTACTCCCCTCCTATATGAAATCTAGATGCTTAAAGAGCAGAGGACTAAAATTATTAGGATGGAATCAATGTTTTTACATTGGGGGGGGAGTGTTGATATTATACCACCTTTACTTGGCTAGCCAAGTCCATCAATTCATTAGAATATGGTTAGGTTGTTTAATAATATATAATTCTGAGGAAGCATGGTCCCTTCCTCCGTGAATTAGTCCTTGACTGTCCCAGGTAGCTGATCCTTCTTTTATTTTCCAATGTCGTTTACCTCTAATGCAAATACTCTGTGTGTGTGTATGTGTGTGTGTGTGTGTGTGTCTGGGGTGTGTGTGTGTGTGTGTGTGTGTGTGTGTGTGTGTGTCTGGGGTGTGTGTGTGTGTACACAATTTAAAATCTCCAAATTTTTGGAAACTTTCTAATTTTAAATATTTTAACTTGTGATTCATGGACTAGAAACAGACTATATCAAACTTAGAGTTAAGTTTGACCATCAGATATATTAGTGAATAGATAACTAAAGGTTGAAGAGATTGAACATGATTATTTCTTGTAGCAAGAATCGTTAGAAAAAAAAACCCTTTTAAATATCTTCAGTGGGGTTGGAGAGATGACTCAGTGGATAAGAGTACCATCTGCTCTTACAGAGGACCTGGGTTTGGTTCCACACCTATATGACATTTAACAATCATCCATAATTTCAATTCTCAGGGATCTGATTCCCTCTTCTGACCTCCACGGGCATTGCACAAAATGGGTGCACTTACGTACATGCAGGCAATATACTCATACACATAAAATAAAATAACAAGAGGCTGGAGAGATGACTCAGTGGTTAAGAACACTGGTTGTTCTTGCAGAAGACCCGGGTTTGAATCCCAGCACCCACATGGCAGCAAATAACTGTCCGTAACTCCAGTACTAGGAGACCCGACTGCCTCTTCTGACCTCTGTGGGCATTCCATGACATGAGTGCACTTACCTACATGCAAGCAATACATGCATACACATAAAATAAAAATAATAAATAAAATTAAAAGCTAAATAAAATAAAATAACAAATAAAATATTTTAAAGTAATGTATTTTCAGTGTTAATCAATACCTTAGGAGGGAGGGAGAGACCTCTGAGACCCTCTGCTTGGACTAGGCATGAAGAGGTCAGAAGGCAGCACTGCTCTGAGGAGCTCCAAAGCACCACCCTGTGATTCCACTCTGGATCATCTTTCCGTTAAACATTATTAATGTATGATTCACACGTTAGTCATTACTCCTTTCTTTCCTTGGAGTAAAGATTCTTTTTAAAATATTTGAGTTTATTTTTGATTGACACTAGTAACTGTAATATTTGTAGTTTCATTTTAATGTTTTGATACATTTATGAATTGTTAAATGATCAAGTCAGGATAACTTGATATTCATCAACTGTGAATTTATCATTTCTTTGTAGAAACAACCTTTGAAGTCTCTGTCTTCTGACCATTTTGAAATATACAGTACATTGTCATTAACTGTAGTTACCTTACTCTGCCAAAAAGAAAAAAAAAAACACCAGAACTTATTCCCTCAGCCTAACTTTATCCTTGTACCCATTGTCCAAACTTTGCTGACCACCGGTGTTCACGTGCACCGATCTATGTCTTGGCAAATGTGCATAGTGTTGAAATGCAGATGGGAGTGTTGCCATCACTTTGATACGCCTGCTTCCCTTTCTTTAGATACAAATGCAGTAGTGAGAAATCTGTGTCATACAGTAATCTCTCTGTGGAGTATTCAAGGAACCTTCAAATTGTTTTCCATAATGGCTCCACCAGTTTACACTCCTACAAAAGTGCAAGGGTTTCCTTTCTGCACATCCTTGTTCACACTGGTTATCTCCAAATTTTTTTAAATTTGTTTTTGTTGAATTTTTGTGTATTTCATACAGAATATCTCAAACAATCTTAATCATCTTTATATACCCTGTCCCCACTGACACCCTTCCATAGCCCCCCAACTGGAACCCATTTATCCTGTCATTTGTGTTAAGGCCCACTGTGTTAAGTCAGTGCCCCCAGTCATTCCCCAGTGCAAGTTCATCCACTGAGGTTTAAAAAGCCACCTAGAGCCCTTGTTTTAGAAAGATCAGTTCTTCACCTAGCAGTAATTGCTTGCCAATATTTCTTCAGCTAAGATTGGGGTCTGCGGTTCATCTTCCCATTCTATGCTGGGTTTTTGTCTGCCTGAGTTCGCATAGGACTTGTGTATGCTGACACCATTGCCATAGAATCATCTGAGAAGAGTCCCAGGAGCTTGTAGGACTCTGTTTCTATATGGCCATGCACCTCCTTCCTGGGTCTTACAGTCTTTCTTTCCACCCCCTCTTCCGTGATGGTCCCTGAGCCTTGGGTGGGTGAAGTTTAATATAAGAGTCCTGTCCAAGGACCAGCATTCTGTAGACTCTTAATCTGTATGTTTTGACCCCTTGTGGCCCCGTGTGTTCCTGGCCTTTTGTTGCATGAGGAGCTTCATTAGAATTGAGAGATTCATCAGTGTCCTCTTCTTTACCCCTGTTCTATGTTCCACGCATCTTAGGTGTAGAGGTTGCATTGGAGATGTGTCAACGAGGCCTGGACAATTCGTAGACAATGTCTGTGTGTGACCAGTTGGGGTACTTGGTAACACTCTCTGACTGGTGCAAAATAAGCTTCTTTGATGAGTGGTGGCTGGGATATTTGTCTGTAAATATAAGGATAAACATTTTGCACATAGTAAGAAATTACATTAGTCTAGAGGTGTGATAGTCTTGGGGTTTTCTCTAAGATCTATGATCTCTCTAGCCATGTGTATTTGGTTACATTTACAGTACCACACTTGAGTTTCCTCCCTTTGAGTGGGCTTTTATTCCAATTAGGTAGCTGTTGATTGCCCCAAGTTAAAAGTGCCACTACTGCACCCATGCCATATGCTGTGCAGGGTTGAACCATCCATTGATGTTTTCCCTTGGCACCTTGATAGTGCTCTCCAGAGACATAAGAGCCGCCTTCAGGGGAAGTGGTTTCAGGTCACTTTCATCTCTATTGCTCCAAATCCTGTGTCCAAAGTATGTCCTGTCTTCAGCAGTAGGGTTTTACCTTCAAGTTCTGGGAGTCCATCAAGGGCTGTGGCAAGAGCCTGAATAATTTTGGGAGTCTCTTAGACCACTCTGGTCAACAACTCATGGAAAGTTTCTCCTGTTTAGCACTGTTTCTTGATATGTAGTCTTTTGCTACACATGTGGACTCATGTAGAGATATTGTTATGTGTAATTTGTTAGTAGGTTTTTGGACTAATATGATTCCATCTGATTTTTAAAAATTAGCTAGACACTATTAATCTCCCCTATCTCTCTCCCTGTCTAACCCTTCTGCCATGGTTTCCCCATTTAAAGTGTTCCCATTTCCCCGTTTCTCCCTTGATAATACCAGTTTCCTATGGTCCTACTTCTCTTGAGCTCCTTCTTTCCCTTTATCCCCAAGGTTCCTAGTTTAACTCTCCCTCCCTCCTCCCATTTAAATCTCCAATTTTCCCACTGTTATAATCAGATTGAAATGCTATCTCACTGTTCTTGAGTTGCATTTTTCTAATGATAAATGTGCAAGTTTGCACATATTATCCATTTGTCTGCCTTCATTTGAGAAATGTTTATTTACGTCTTTCATCTATTTTATTTAAAACGTTTTAATTTTGATTTTAAGTGTATGAGTATTTTGCCTGCATGTATGTAAGTGTGCCTGTGTTGTACCATGCCTGTAGAGGCCAGAAGAGGGTGTTGAATCCCCTGCAGCTGGAGTCTACAGGTGGTTAGCTGCCATATGTGTGCTGGATCTGAATCCAGGTGCTCCGAGAGAGCAGCCAGCCAGAGCTCTTAACTGAGAAGGTGTCTCTTCAACCCCAGAGTTTTATTTTTTAAAAGGCAGCCTGGGAAGATCTAAATAGAATCTAGATTAATTAATCCCATTGTACATTCTCCTTCTTTGTGATATGTCCATTACAAGGCTACAGAATATCTTGCTCTCTTTTATACACACAGACCTGAACCCTAACCTAGACATCCCAGGCATCATTAACTGAGAAATCCAGGAGATGCAGGGAGAAGGGCATACCTAGGGTTTCCTTTAATTGGGTCATAATCATTTTCGGATAAGAGCACTGCAGTGTCTCCCTGAAGCTACTCTTATTTCCTGCTCCATTCCTTATAAGCCAGGCAGACATATCCCCTGGCAATGCAGCAGTGATCATGTCTAACCTTAGTTTAAAATCCTTTAATGACCACCCATTGCTGTAGGATGAAATACAAATTGCTTAATTCATCTTACAAAATTTGGCCTTCAAGATCAGACTTTCGCCTGTCTTGTGTCACCTTATCCACTCCGCCTTCGTTCACTCTAGTTCTCAAGTTCACCCTGCTCACTCCTGTCTTGCTGCTTACTTCTAGGCGAGAGATGGACATCATGATAAGAGCTCCAATCAGGGCAAGTATCAGGAAGCAGGAGTGCAGAAGACGAGAGATGGATGATGCTAGAAGAAGTTGAGGAAAGTACTAGAAAACAGGTAACACTGGCCAGATTCTTAGGAGTAACGCACTCAACCAATACTAACATTTTTATTCATGAGTCACCGACCTGGAAAAAATATGCATTTCCAACTTTCTTTCTCCGTATCATGAGCAATGGTTTATGGCAGTTGTAAATAGTTTTATACAGTCATCATGCATTTAACAAATACTCAACAGGACCTCTTAATCCACCAGAGTTCATTCTAGTCTCTGGTACATATGAACAATAAAGCAATGGCCTTACATGGCTATCATTCTAGGGTATATTTATATAATAAACAAATAGATACACAGTAATGTCAAGGGGTGAAAATGTTATGAAGTCAAGCAAAGCAGGGCAGTCGAAGAAATAAAATAGAGTGAGTGAAGGAATGTTTTAGATGCGAGGTCTGATAGGAAGCACAGAGCCATGAAGCCGCCTGGGGAGGGTTTGAGACTGAGAACCTTCAGCTTTTCTGAGCTTGGACTTAAAGAGCAAGGACAGGATAAAGCGCAAGTGACATACTGAGGATGGAGATGTGGCTGGCACCAGATTTTTGAAGGTCGGGTAGTTTCTTGTTAAGACTTTGATTTTATTCTAAGGATGATGCAGAGCCAGAGGAGGATTTTAGGGAGGAATGAGTTTATTTGACACATCTGTGAAATCAGTTCAGAGATGGCCATCCTACTATGAGAACTGTGATGGGTCTGTGTGTGGCTCCTTGGCTTTTCTAGCTACACTCTCAGTTTGTATGTATTGCCCTGGTATTGTTAGTGACACACCCCTTTCACTCTGGGTGCTGTAATGGACTAGAAATCACATGTTCACTCTGAGGAGCATTCAAGGTTCCTCTTTCCCTCAATAATGATCATTTTTCTACTACACTGTGCCATGTATCTTAATCTCTTTGGCACTAAAATTTTAGGCTGCTATTTCTCTCTCTCTCTCTCTCTCTCTCTCTCTCTCTCTCTCTCTCTGTGTGTGTGTGTGTGTGTGTTTTTAACTAGACAATGTGAAATTGTAAAATAAGATTGACTGTGGCTAATCTGTACAGGATACACCGATTCTGTGATGTGATAGGTGTTTCCTGCAGGTTGACTCTGCACACATCCAGAAGCCCTTTCTTTACCATGCTTCCCTTTTCAGTGGAGGTTTTGGCTTCATTTGGCTAGTGGAATCAGTCTTTAAAAGTCATGATTGCAATCTGCAGGCAGTCACTGAGCATGCCTGAGTGTCGACATCTGTGCACTACATGTAATGAGTGTCCATTAGATCCTGAAGCATTCCTAGATACAGAATATGTACTCACTCAATATTTTTTAATAATTTTTTAAAAGTTTAGTAATATGACACCATGGAATTAAAGATACTGAATAAAGTTTCAACACCAATCTTATTAAACTGATGCAGTATAATCACAAGAGAGTTAATATGTAATATAGAACAATTTGCTGAATTCTATCATTTTAATGGAACCTGACTGGTATCACTTTGCTTTTGTGCCTGGTGTTTTTTCTCATGAATGTAGTTAGTTTTCATATGTGTGCATATATGTGTGTGAATGACTATGTTAAGTGGAATAACAGCATGCAAAGAGTATCTGAAATATGCTTTACAATATAAATGATCAAAAATATGTCAAACATGAAACTTAATAGTGAAGAGTGTGTTTTTACAGATCGCCTCTAAAGTTCGTACTGTTACCTTACATTAACCCTGGCTCTTCTTCCGTTGTGAACTTACCTTTATGTTTTCTAGAAGAATAAAGGTGTCTCAATTGGGCTTCTCCCAAGATAACAGAACTAGTTTCAACTTAACACACATCTGAAGTTCTCTTTCTGTGCCACTAATTTTTCTTAATTGCTGTCACTGACACTTGCTCAGGTTAAAATGAGTCTTTTTGTGAAGACTTGGGTTAAAAAGAACAATATCAAAGCATCCTGGGCTAATAGCCTTCTTTGCAGAATCGAAACTTGTGTTAATTATTTGCAACATAGGAACTAGAACATTTGCTGGGATTTGTGCCTCTTGATAAAGCAGGGACATTTTTCCTGTACATATCTTAAAGCCCAGGTCTCAGATGGATTTGGCCTGGGTCCTTTCCAAGGGTTTCCCCACAGGTACACTTCACACAAGGAAAGCATTTCCAACATGCTGACTGCCCATCTCATTCATATGTTTCAATAAATTTTTTTTCTTTCTTTCCAATGGATTCGATTTGTTCTGTGAAAATGGATGAAATGGTAGGTGTACAGAGTAGACTCTACAGAGTGACTTCTTATGACAGGAAGAGCTGTGAGCTGAGGCCAGATCCCCTGGTGCAAGCTTGACTCTCCCGCTGGTTGGCTATGTGACCTTGAGTGAATGTCCAAACCTCTGATACTGTCAGTTCCCTCACATCTAAAATAAATGGATTGCAATGAGTAATCTCTAAGGTCTTTTCTAGCTGTAAAGTTTTCAGTACTTTATTTAGTTTAGAAACAGAGGTCTGTCTAGTGGCTTGTATTTGACCTCGTGTCTCAAACCTTTTTGCCTTGCAGTTGATTCTCTATATAGCTAAATGTTCATTCTCACATATGCCATGGTTGATTAGAAATGACTATCAGGAAATGCAGAGAATCCTATATTTAACATCTCAGAATTGGATACTAGTTTGATATAAATAGCAAGCTGTTATCTGAGTAGATTACAATGGATTTACTATCAAGCAAATTAAATCACTGGGGCAGATGTGTTTTTAGAATTGTCTGAGATAATCAATCTGTGCGTAGAAAAATTTTGGTAACTGCCGAATTGTCTTGCGTAGTTCAAAGATATGTCACCCAAGAACTTCCTTTACTGTGGCTAAGAGAGTATTACATTAACAGGAAAGGACTGACTGGAGAGGGGAAGTACAAGCAAATATGAACTGTGGACTGCAGGCCCTCTGCAGACTGTGGGACCTTTGGAGGAAGAAGCAAGGTGGGCAGAAAACTACACAGAAGCATCATGTTGGAAAAGAAAAGGTACAGAAAGGAGATGAAGGAGACAAATTATTTGGTGAAACACTAAGTAGCTAGTGGCATGCTGAATTTTATATAACAAGTAAAGTTAGAGGAAATGGAAGAATGGCATAACCAAAGTCAGAAATGTCTTCTGGATTTATGACAATAGAAGGAAGATGCTGATACAGAGGTGACAAGTGACGAAAAAAAAGGCAATGAACAGGAGTGAGAGGAATTAGGAACCTGGAAGTTCATCTGCCAGTGGAAACAACAGATACTTAATTTTTCAAAATAATTCCCCAATGTGATTGGAATAATGATTGCTATTACCAGTATCCAAGTCTTTACATTATAAGTAGCCAATGTAGGTCAACTAGAACCCTGTTTTTTCCCTGTCCCAAAGAAATCGGAGTCTAGACAGTATGTTTGGTAAACTAAAATTTAGAAAATTTAATTTGCAAGGATCATTTTGGCGCTAAAGATTGTATTCATTCCTTGCTATTATTTCTTGTTGTAATAAATTATCATATACTTACTGCCATAAAGCATTATACATTTATTATCTTACAGTTCTGGAGGACAGAAGGCCCAAAATAAATATATCGTTAGGGTTGTACCCTTCTGGAAGTTCTAGGGGATAATCCACTTCCCTGTGTTTTCATGCCCTTGAACCTCCTTCATTACCTGCCTCGCACTGTGGCCCCTCCATTCCCTTCAGACTGCAAACTTGTCTTCAGATCTCTTTTTGGAGGTTCCCTCCAGCCAGAATAATCTTATCTCAAAATCTGTTACTTTATCATATCTACAAGATTCTTACTGCATGTTGGCTATACTGTCGCTTGTTTTAAGAGTTAAGCCATGGATGTCTTTGACCACCTGGGTCTTTTGATCTCTGGTTGCAACTGCATAACAATGCCTCTGCAGAGGAAAAATAGCCAGGGACACCATGTGAAACAAGGGCAGTAAACTATGTTTTTAAAAATAGATCCTGAGCTGGATTTGCCTCTTGGGCTAGTTTGTTATCTCCTAAGGTTGAATATTTCTAAAAGCCACCCTAGTTGTTTCAAGTAAGGCGAAATTTAATACAGAGAACTAGAGGCCTAGCCGAGTGGAGGGAGGATGCAGAAGTATCTGTGTGATTTCAGGGTATCCCCAGAGCAGCCGCCCCTAGAACCAGCTGAGGTGGGTGGTTTGCAGCCCTGGAACTCTGCTTCTCTCTCTCTCTCTCTCTCTCTCTCTCTCTCTCTCTCTCTCCCCCCCCCTTCAGCAGCCACCTCATGGTAAAGATGGCTGCCCATTCTTCCCTTCCCTTGAGCTTCCACCCTGCAGACAAGTGCCTCTAGGGTGGAGCATAAGTAACGGCTTCCAGCAAAGAACTCAGGGGAACTTAATTATCTTTGTGGAGAACTTGGAAGGGTTTGGATGGTCTTTAATATCAGCACATGGAAGAAGTAATAAAATGTGGTTAGAAAGATAACTTGAGGTGTGGGTGAAAAGGCTATGAAATGGCAAATGGACCATGGGAATATTTATAGAACCGTGGATGGGATTCTTTCTGCTTGAGTATATAGCTTTAGTCTACAGTTTAGCTGATTATAAATTGCAAGTGTATATGTCTTATTTTATTTTATTTTCACCAAATGAACATTTGCGGGTTGTTATTATGGATTTGAAAGTAGTCACAGAGTGGATCCTAATCCTGCCTCCATCTCCATTGATTTCTCACGTTAGACAAACTTCCTGAATGTTCCCGGCATTAGTTACCTTCACTTGCTTCATCCTAACATATGATTTGAGTAGGAAGAGAATTACACAATAAATGTAGCATGTCTGGTATAAAGTTGATACTAAGCCCTCATCCTTACCATTATCTGAGACTGAACATCACAGAGAATTTTAAACAAAGGGCAAATATCAGTCAGGTATTATTTCTGATCAAATTTCCCAATTTGCCCACAAGCAGCTCTGACACCATCAAGTGTACGCCTCACATCTGTCATGAATCAGGCATAGTGCCTG